AATGAGAAAAAGCAGTTGTGAGCACTTGGAAAACCATCAGGCACAAAGCACTGCAGTTTTGAAGGCTGGCTAAGGGAGTGCTGGGGTCTTTGGGAGAGGAGGAGGATCTGACTATCTCAGATAACCGGGGGCAAGTTATAACTCACACTGCATACTCTGTCATGGGTTTGTGATGGTTACCTGCTAAGGAGATTTTTGCTTTCTCAGATGTTCTGTTCCTAGGGGTCTAGTTCCGTGGTCTGTTGGGCAAGATGAGGCTGGTTCTGGATTGGAAGGAAGGGCTTTGCCTAATCTTTGTGATGTTCTTACTGCTTGTAGTGGCCCCTGCTTGGGGGCGCTGAAGGTTTCTGGGATTTCCTTACTGATCTCAGTCCCCCAGTCTTATCACCTGTCCTACTTCGTAGGCATTTCAAAAGTAATGCATCCAAAATGGCGCTTTTGACTGCCATCCTTGACTGTAGTTTCAGAGATGGGACTGGCCTTGCTTGCCTGTGACAGTGTGAAACTTTCCAGCTTGCAGTGGGCTGCTTATCTGAGTAGTTGGAATCCCTCCAAACTGGATATTACAAGGTGGAGGAATCCCTTTACCTTTCTGGGCAAATGGACTTCTAGCTCTTCATATATATTTCCTCAGTATTCAGAAAGTATGCAACCATGCTTTTGGGATTTCATTGTACTACTCTTATTTTAGCAATGAATTGTTGAGCCATGAAAGGTTTTGAGCTTGTCTATGCAAGTTTCAGGGCAAATCACTGACTACTTGGTACAGTAGAAAGAGTCAGGAAGCCTGACTGTTAAATGTACGTCTGCCAATAACTTGCTAGTAACTTGGGGCAAGGAATGTAGGCTCTTCACCCCTCAGTCTCCCTATCAGTAGAGTAAGTGGGTACCACCCAGGCTTTGAAAGATGGAGCAGTTGTGCAAAAATTAGCAACAGAGCTAGCTGGCAATAAGAGGAGTGTGGAATTTACTCTCACAGCCGCATTGTAACTGACTCAGCATATTTCAAAAATGTAAAATTGAGCCAATGAACATACATTTGGTATTAACCAAACTGCCAAATGCACTATGTAAAATGAACCTCTTTATTAATCTTTAAAAAGGAAAGAGATTCTTTTGTTGACACTGTTGAGATGAAATGAGCGCTCTCGTTTGGTCTTTGGATTCTGTCAATTCTTTAATAAGAAAAGCCCATTCCAGGGCACCTAGGTGGCTCAGTCGGTTAAGGCTCAGGTCATGATCCCAGGGTCCTGGGATCAAATACTGCATCAGGCTCCTTTGCTCAGCAGGGAGCCTGCTTCTCCCTCTGCCTCTCCCCACTCCTCCCCCTGCTTGTGTGCACGCTCTTCTCTCTCTCTGACAAATAAATAAATAATATCTTAAAAAAAAAAAAAAAGCCCATTCCTGCACAAGGGGGTGGTTCTGATACATGTTTTCCTGGGCTGATGTATGATGGAGAGTCAAGTAAACGCAAGAGAGGCTCTGCTCATCTCTGGGTGAGAACAAAGGTCACCTCAGGGCATGGAGGACTTCGGAGTGTAATATATATTTCCAAAGGGAAATGCTTGCAAAATGCAAATGCTGATCCCAATTCTGACCTTTGCGACTGGTGCCAGTTGAGACAAAGAGAAAAGCCAAGAAGTGAAATGATATTTTCCTTCCCTCATCATTACTCAGCATGGCTTACTTGCTTAGCTATAAAGAATTCAAGTGTCAAGAGAAACTGCAGTGCAGTTTTCTGATTCAAAAAATGCATTCTTCCTTCTGGCCAAGAGGTCCACTGTGCGCCAATATTGTTTCTGAAGAGGACAGCCTTGTGGATTGCTTCCTTCACTCTAACGTTCCTATAACTTGCGTATCCATACTGTTTGATTTTTAAAGGAAAATAGTTCTTAAACTATCGTATGCATAGGAATCATCTAAGGAGAGCACCTGGGTGGCTCAGTCGGTTAAGCGTCTGCCTTTAGCTCTGGTCATGATCCCAGGGTCCTGGGATCAAGCCCCACATTGGGCTCCCTGCTCAGCGGGGAGTCTGCTTCTGCCCCTCCCTCCGCCCCTTCCCCCTGCCCGTTCTTGATCTCTCTCTCTCACTCTGCACTCTCTCTCTCTCAAATAAATAAATAAAATCTTTAAAAAAAAAAAGAATCATCTGGGGAGCTTACGAAAATGATAGAACCCTGACTCCCACCCCGAGTTCAGTGGGGCTGAGGAATCAGCATTTTTAATCTATGGCACGGGGGTTCTGATTCAGGGGATCAACAGAGCTACTTGGAGGAGTATCGCGCTGGGTGCCAAGACCACGAGAGATACTTTATCACACACATGGTGTGTGTTCCCTTCGTCAGTCGTCCTAGCTGTTGCTTTTAGAACTACACTGGAGCTTGGCTCAATCAATTATTGCTTGACTTAGAACAATTTGTGATTGAGACAAATAGCATGGGAGAAGCCTAAGTTTGGGAGTCAGAAAGACCTGGGTGTAGATCTCCAAGCTTCTACTTATCATTCCTTGGGTAGGTTGCTCAAGAACTTTTTCTATTTACTTACCTGTCAAGTGGGAATAATATTACCCACATCACCAAGAGGGGGAGGTGGTGGTGAGGAGGGGATAGAATGACTTACAGGTAAGCACTTAGCACCATGCCTGGCATTTAGTAGTGGCTCAATAAATACCACTTTCCTCCATTCTCACAGGCAGCAGGAATTAACTTAAAAAAAAAAAATAGAAAAGAAACTCATATTCTCCTCCAGCACTTAAAGCAGATATTGTAAAGATAAACTTTTTTTTCTAAAGATTTATTTATTGGGGCACCTGGGTGGCTCAGATAGTTGAGCGTCTGCCTTCAGCTCAGGTCATGATCCCGGGGTCCTGGGATCGAGTTCCACGTTGGGCTCCCTGCTCGCAGGGAGCCTGCTTCTCCCTCTCTCTCTGCTGCTCCCCCTGCTTGTGCTCTTTCACTCTCTCTCTCTCAAATAAATAAAATCTTTAAAAATAAAGACTTATTTATTTGAGAGAGAGAGCACACTTGCACAGGGTGGGGGGACAGAGGGAGAGAGAGAACCTTAAGCAGACTCCCTGCTGAGCGCAGAGCCCGACTCAGGGCTCCATCCCATGACCCTGAGATCATGACCTGAGCCGAAACCAAGAGTCGGATGCTTAGCTGACTGAGCCACCCAGGCGCCCCAAGAGAAACTTTTTTTTTAATGTCCAGGCAAATAGATTTGGGGCCTTGTTACACATCACTTTAAAAGTCAATGGTTTTTTAGCAGTCTTGAAAGGATGCCCTTCCTTAGTTCCTTTAGGTAATACTGACTTCTGTTTAACCTCTTCTCCGAGAGGTTAAATGAGTTGCCAAATGAAGATCAGGGGTGGCTCTCTGGTAGACGAGACAAGCCACTGGCCAGTGCATGCTACCTAACGAGTCAAGAAACATTTGCTGAGCTCCTTTGGTGCATAAATACACATTACCAAGAGAGGTCCCAGGGGGCAGGTAAGGAAATGCAGGTGGGTCACAGTGTTGGTATCTTTGGTGGACACTCCCCAGAGCCAGTGCAGAGAACCTGGATCAGGTGTGTTTAACCTGAAACCACACCTGTTCCTAGTCAAAATCTCACAAGGACCACCTTGTTTCTCAGAATTTAGCTAGTAATGGATTATTTGGACCGAGTTGTTCAGACTCTTTCCAGGTGAAACGAGAACATCACAGGGGTCTGAGAGAAACAATGCACCATTATACCTGTAGTGTCCAGCGAGCTCCTTGCTGGAACAGGCTTTCTAAATTGAGTCTCAGCATATCGCCCCACATCTCCCCCCGTCCAACCTGGTTTTACTGTTGCAGGAAAAAAAAAAAAAAAATCATCTTTGTTCTTTGTGTTGGTTGATTAATTTTAGGTTCACTGTTCTTATCCCATTTTGCGCTCATGAGGATACTTATGTAATACATTACTGTGTATCACATGGTTCCTCCTCCTGAGGACCCAAATCAGGAAAAAAAAAAAAAAATAGTACAAAGTGCCTATCTGCCTTTTCTGGCTGGAGGAATTGCAAGTTAAATGGAGAGCTTTGGTCAGCTGAAAGCCACAATGTCCTCTCCTAGCCTTGCTCAGTCTTTATAAAGGAGAGGCTGTAAATCTTACCCCTGGGGCAGGGTGGTCACAAGAACTTCCATTTTCTGAAAGCCTACCTCTGGAAACTCAAAGAATAAGGCCAGTAAGCCCCATCCTATGATTTTAGAGCCTGATCCAATCCCCTTTGTTTTATAGAAAAAGAAGCTGAGGTTCAGAGAGCTCCACATAGTTATTAGGAACTTCTTTTTTTAAAAAATTACTGCCCACATTGTGTGTATGAGGAAATGTGCACACAACACGAGGCTCATCCTAGGCCTCCAAGAGGTTAAATGAGTTGCCAAATGAAGATCAGGGGTGACTCTGGTAGACGAGACGAGCCACTGGCCAGTGCATGCTACCTAACGAGTCCAGAAACATTTGCTGAGCTCCTTTGGTGCATGAGCATTCTGCTATGTTCTGAGAAGCTGGGGGATGGAAGGAGAAGTACAAAGGGGGAGAAAAATGTGAACTTTAAGAAATTACCCCCAGCTTTGAGGAACTTACAGTCTACAGTGAGCTCCTTACTGAAAGGTGTTTCTAAACCAAAATAAAGACATATTACAAATACATATTACAAAATATTGAACCAAACAGTATCATATATTTAACAGCCCAATTACATAATCCTAGAGAAGTTTGGGAGGAAGAAAGAGGGTTGCTGGCTCTCAGAGGAGCAAGCCCAGTGTTTTCTCCACTGGACTGTTAAAGCCACAATTCTCTGATTTATTGTTTATCCTCATGATTATGGCATAGGGAAGGGGCTCAATTCATCCTTCTTGAATCAACGTGTGGCTCCTTAGATAACATAATTATGGGGCTATTTCTGTATGCCCCTCATGACCCCTTTTGTAGGAATGCTTTCTACTCACATGCATCTCTTGTTGTTTTTTTTCCAGTGGCCCACCCTCAGGACCCCCACCACCCATCGGAGAAGCCTGTCATTCACTGCCATAAATGTGGGGAGCCGTGCAAGGGTGAAGTACTTCGGGTCCAGACCAAACATTTCCACATCAAATGTTTCACCTGCAAAGGTATGCTGCCTCCAGCTTCCTGCTTTCATGGCATGTCGCCATCTGTGTTCACCTCGGGGTCCATCCCTTGAACCCCATGCCAGGCCACCAGGTGACAAGTGAATGTGCTCAGAAGCCCTGGCATCACTTTCCTTCTCTGGTTTGGGTGGGATTAGACTCAAGGGGAGGCCGATTCCCCCAAAGACCAATGGCCCATACGCCTTCGGTGTTTATTGAGGGTCCTGATCCTGGGAGGAATGAGAACAGTAAAAACAATGCAGTTTTGTGTTTTGTACTTTATATTTATTTCCCCCGAAATGAAGGACTCTCATCCCAAAGTCACCTTGTCCCAACAGCCATTATTTATAGAAGGGCTGGCAAGTTTATAAGATTAGGGTTCTGGGCACCTGGGTGGCTCAGATGGTTAAGTGTCTGCCTTCGGCTCAGGTCATGATCCCAGGGTCCTGGGATCAAGTCCCACATTCGGGCTCCCGGCTCAGCGGGGAGCCTGCTTCTCCCTCTGACCCTTGCCCCTCTCATGCTGTTTCTCTCTCGTTCTCTAAAAAATAAATAAAATCTAAAAAAAAAAAAAGATTAGGGTTCTAAGTCACTGGATGCTGTGGGGTGATTGGGGAACATGTGCGTGCACGAGCATGTGTGTGTGCATGCACGTGTGTATTCAGAAGTGAGAATTAATCAACAACACTCGGAAGGTCTCCAAGAAGCTAACGAGTTGAGATTGATTGCCATTAACAAGACTCCTTTTTGGGGTTTGTAACTGTTGGCATCCTGGCATGAAATACGCTGACCTGTTATTCTGGAGGTAGGGCGGGGCTGAGTGGGAAAAAAGAGGAAGAAGAAAGTGATTTGTGTATTTATTTGAGGAACAGGTTACTTGAGCTGAGGTCATGTGGGGAGCTCAGGCTGGGTTGAGGGATCCAGGAGGAGAGGTGGAAGGAGAGACAAGATGATGAGCCTGCTTTGTAGCTCACTCTGCCCTCTGCGTGTGTTGGGCACTCTCATCCCTGGGAACTGCATTCCTTCTCAGTGCCTTAGTTTGTGAACTCAGCATTGCCATCTTAAGCCATCCATCCCTGGCCAGGGAGGCTTTCAAGGAGATGCTACCTAGGGACCGTCAAATACATAAAAATAGGAGGGGCGGGGGCCTATCTGTTTGTTTCACTGAGGGTAAAGTCTTCTGAGAAAGAGCATTAACATATGGCTCAGGTGAGAAGACTTAAGGGGAGGGGAGGACATCAGTTTAGTTCCCATTGAGCATGACAGAAGGCTGTGATGCACATTTTATAGAAAGGGATTCTTAAGTTTTTCCACAAACCGGTAGGAGTAAGTACCAGAAATCTTGTTTTCCGACAACTCAAGTTGGCCATCAAGAAACATGAGAGTCTCATCCAGGGTCCTAACTGCTCTGCCATTCTCTGTGGCTTGAATCCTGCCCTTGCCACTAAGTCGCTCTGTGATCTCAGGCAAGTTACCTGTCTCTCGGTGGCCCCATGTCCTTATCTGGACAATAAAGAGACTAGACCATGTGATACTTAAGTCATCCCGGGTCTGAAGTTTGCTGATTCCATATACACAGAACAATGTCTGTGTATAATAGAGAACCCAGAGGCACTGAATTAGAGCCTCTTAGCATGTAAGAGAAAAAGGTTTTCTGGTTACATCCAGATTGGTTAACTTAGAGTTAGGCATTACATTCCGTTTTATTTTTTGCTCATAAATTTCCTACAACATGGCTCAAGGGGTAGATTTGGTCTGCAATAGATACGTGGTCCACAAGCAATGGGGGCCTTGCATGTATTCTGTATTTCTAATTGAAAGTACAAAGTGGGGCGCCTGGGTGGCTCAGTTGGTTAAGCGACTGCCTTCGGCTCAGGTCATGATCCTGGAGTCCCGGGATCGAGTCCCGCATCGGCCTCCCTGCTCGGCAGGGAGTCTGCTTCTCCCTCTGACCCTCTCATGCTCTATCTCATTCTCTGTCTCAAATAAATAAATAAAATCTTTAAAAAAAAAGAAAGTACAAAGTGTTAGTCTCAGATGTGGGTAGTCACTGTTCGGCACACTAAGGAATTAGAAGACATGTTTGTTTATCCCTCACGGGTGGAAGCTTCCTTGCTATTTTTCTCTTCTAATGTAAATCTAAGGACTGAATGTAAATTATTTATATTAGAACATTTTCCCATAGACTTTGTTTCATGCTATGAATGTGCTCCTGAAAAGTCAAATGTTTGTATAAATTGAATCATATTGTAGGAGCGCTTGCTATTTGTAGCAACTATTTTGAATTTAACAAAACTTTACTAAAATAAATGTCTTTTATTCCTGTTTGTTTTTTCTCACACTTAATCTATCAATATCTGTTATCTTATGTCCTTTTCTTTAATATCCAAAGAAAGTGACTTAACCTCCTCATTCCTTATACCCTGGCAAGTTCATTCCTTTTCCCCAAGATTCTAGAGTGATGTTGTCCAAGTAGAAATATGGTGCAAACCACGTATATAATTTCTATATTTTTGAATAGCTATATTAAAAAGGTATAAAGGGGTAGGTGCAATTAATTTTCATAATGTCTCTAATCTCTATATATCCAAACTATCATTTCAACATATAATTAATGTAAAAATTATTGAGATAATTTGACATTTTTTTTCATACTAGCTTAATAGCACATCTCAGGTTGGACTAGTCACATTTTAAGTACTCAAAAGCCCTTTGTAGGGGCACCTGGGTGGCTCAGTCAGTTAAGTGTCTGACCCTTGATTTGGCTCAGGTCATGATCTCGGGGTCATGAGATCAAGCCCCGCATCAGGCTCTGTGCTCAGTGGGGAGTCGGCTTAAGGTTCTCTCTCTCCCCTCTCCCTTTGCCCCTCTCCCCTCTTGTATGCTCTCTCTCTCTAAAATAATAAATCTTTTTTTTAAAAAGCCCTTGGGGGTGCCTGGGTGGCTCAGTCGTTAAACGTCTGCCTTCAGCTCAGGTCTTGATCTCAGGGTCCTGGGATCGAGCCCCGCATCAGACTTCCTGCTTGGCGGGGAGCCTGCTTCTCCCTCTCCCACTCCCCCTACTTGTGTTCCCTCTCTCACTGTGTCTCTCTTTGTCAATAAATAAAATCTTAAAAAAAATAAAAATAAAAAAATTTAAAAACCCTTTATTATAGTTAGTGGCTACAGTATGGAACAACACAGTTCTAGAGAGTCCTTGAGGTTTTGTTTTGTTTTGTTTTTTTGAAGATTTTATTTATTAGAACTTGAGTGGGGGGCAGAGGCAGAGGGAGAGGGAGAAGCAGACTCCCTGCTGAGCAAGGAGCCTGATGCGGGGCTCGATCCCAGGACCCTGAGATCATGACCTGGTTGAAGGCAGATGCTAACCAACTGAGTCACCCAGGCGCCCCAAGAGTCCTTGAGGTTTGCATTCTTGTGGTCCCCTCTTGCTCCAAATTCTTTCCAGTACCAAATTCTTGGCTTCCCTTTGTGAATGCTGCTCCTTACACATTGCTTCACCCCACATTGGCCACCATGCTTCTTTACTTCCCAACATACCATGAACACAAGGCAGCTATTTTCAGTAGACTTTACTGAAGGTTTGGGATAATGGAGGGAAATTATAGCCCCGAAGAGGTAACAACTGTCCTAATATTCTCGAGCCATGTCTAGAACAAGAAACTTCTCATTGGCCAGGGCCAGTTTTCTCTTCGCTTCTCTTCGCTTCTCTTCTCCTCTCCTCTCCTCTCCTCTCCTCTCCTCTCCTCTCCTCTCCTCTCCTCTCCTCTCCTCTCCTCTCCTCTCCTCTCCTCTCCTCCCCTCCCCTCCCCTCCCCTCCCCTCCCCTCCCCTCCCTTCCCCTCCCCTCCCCTCTCTTTTTCTTCCTTCCTTCCTTCCTTCCTTCCTTCCTTCCTTCCTTTCTTCCTTTCTTTCTTTCTTTCTTTTCATTAATAGGCTTTAATTTTTTGTGCAGTTTTAGGTTTACAGGAAAAGTGAACAGAATGTCCAGACCAGGGCCATTTCTCATATGTATTCAGACTCCACCTGCCACCATCTTGGTACGTCTTCCTCTCCCTACAAAGACTCTTCTCCCCTTCATCCCTTGGACCTCAATTTCCTGTTCCCTCAATGTCCTGACTCTAAATTTTCATAGAGTCTCTACTTTTTATGAATCCATTAGGACGGTTTCCCAGAGGAAACAAAAGTCTTCTTGAGGAATGCTGTCTTCCTCTTAGCCCACATGGCCCAGACTGCAGCTCAGTCTGAAAACAACAGTTTTGTTTTCTGCCTGTCCCATCTAAAGCAGAGGTATCATGTCCAGATAGTGAGCTAATATACTGGGAGAAAGGATTTGGGGTGGAGAGCAGTTGCTAGAATAAGCCTGAGCTTTGGGATAAGAGCTGGCCAAGTGCAGAGGAAGAACATTCAGGTTCTGACTCTGATTTCAGGGCCAGACAGCGTTTCTCCCTCAAATTCTCTCCCCTGCCTTCCCCTCTACCCTCCTGCACTCATACATCTTGTTGCCAAAGCCTCATAGTTCTTGAATGGGACCAGAGGCTACTTTCCATAATTAGAAAGAACATCCTAAAATTCAAACACCTACGGGAATAAAAAGCAGAGATGAACTCTTTTACTAGGAATGGGTTTTGAAAGGAGAGGGAGAAAGAGGACAGCGAACATCTTCCATGAGAACCAGACATGTATGAAGGTAGGAAAGGGTTGCTTCAGAGGAACCTAGGGTTCAGAGCACAAACTTAAACCAGTGATCAATCTCTGAGTTCACAGGATCCAGGGGTGGTGAGCAGGAATTTTGTTGGTGAACCCATCTCCCTAAAATGTCTGACATCTTGGGATCTGATGGTGTAGGCGTTATTTACCCAATTAGTAAATGTTAATTGGACACATACTCCTTGTGGGATATTATGCTAAGTGCTAATAATAGGAAGAGACAGCACACCATGTTTGTCCTCAAAGGACCCATAGGGTATTTGGAGAGACATATAAATAAGCAACATTTATGATATT